AACGCCGTTCTTTTAATTATGTGTACAATTTCAGTCATGCTTCATTCTTCAAACGTGACATGCTCAGGTTTTAAATTATTCTCATTACTAATGCTACTATTGCTCGTTACGATCGTCAGGAATTTAGTCAGTGAGAAATAATTTTTCTTTATCGTGTTGCTCTTTGTCAAACGTTTGCTCTCAAAAGCTAATCAGATTATTCACATTTTGACAATGTTAAGACCACAAGAACAAGAGATATATCCTGCTCATTTAAGAAACCATTTTCTCAAGTGATCTTTTCAGTCGGTTCAAACGAAGCTCCTTAAGTGATGTCTGCTTTCAATCAACAACACCAGCGACAGAGCTTTTTCTAGCTTTGTTAATGACATTTGATTCAGAATCAAAAGGAAAACTTGGCAAAGCAATGATATTCAACGAATATCAAATGGAACGACTTCAATAAGGATACAATTGCTGTTTCAAGTGTTCATTGAACTCAAACTCTTCGGACTTACTGAATTTTCGAAGGAAGGGCAAACACCTTTTACTGACTTCAAGCACAATTTGCTCGTTGCTGTTGGTTCTTTTGCATAAGGCTCTTTCGCGATGAGTTTATGAGCTGCGATTCAACAAATTCACCGCGTGAGTTGACATTCAGTGCTGTCTGAGTCTCTGAATATATCTCACTTTGTCCGAATACAATATCTTTGCTTGCGTCCGAAAAGTTTCAAACAATTTTTCTTTCATTTGGAAAGCTAATAAATACTTTCGCCAAATGTTCATCAATCAAATCAGATTTCCAGTCCATACTGATCATATCATGTTCTTCGTTGTTTGATAAAGTCGATGCTATGAAAAATAGTTGCCTGATGAGTGGAAAAAATCCATCATGGATAAAAACGTTCAAATTGTGATCACCTTATTGTGATGTTCCTCGGAAATTCTACAAAGAATAGAATTCCTTCGAAAAGAGAGCAGTATTGTGCTATGAGCTATCAATTTTCTTAGGATTGTGTGCTATCACCGTAACATAATCACACTGATGCTTTAGTTATATTCAGTGGATAATGCAATGGGAAACCAATTACGATTTTTGATGAGAACGTAATCACATGCTGGTCATGTATTTTATTCCCTGCCTAAGTGAACAGTTCACTGATGGATCAGTCCATTCTAAGCCAAATTTATGCTATCAAGCACGCATCAAAACAAATAATATCGTCGAGCTTTTAGGAGCTCAAAGCTGAGCAATTCCATTCAGTGGTGTCTTTGTGCCATGCTCTCAGTGATTTTGTGGTACACAATTAAAATGAATTTATGTGAATGATTATGCTAGTTGACAACGATAAATTCTCGCTCAATTCACGTTCGACTGTCAGCGCAGTCAAATTGAGTAAAATATGACTCGATTGATGCATGCATGTATTACAAATGCCTCATGTCGGTCGCCTCATTTGCCGGTTTACTGCCGATGTGTGTTCATTAGAACGAATGCCCATCACAGTCGCAAACAACAGCTGCAATGGGGTGGTGGTTTTTTTTACGAAGTGATGATGGTTTTATGGCAAGTAAAATGTCGTTTAGTTGAACGTAAAATGTCAAATGGTATCAGTGAAGTGGTTCGTTCATTGCTTCACATCAAATCCATCAGGAGTTAGTACGAATTCATTGTGAACGCGCTTTACTGGCTATGAGCTCACTCAACAACGTCGAATCCATAACAGTTTTTCGTTCCTTGTCGTCATCATTCAATCTATTCAAACGCGAGATTTCTGTCGATTGAAAGCGAGAAAATTAACTGACGAACTTGCGAAAGTCATTCATTCATATTTCATTGCTGCCTTATGTTGAGGAATCACTGAAGTGGTTTTTCTTCAGCGCAAAATGTGGGTGCTTTAAGTGCGTGAAAGACGAGACAAAATGACGCTTCAGACGCTTACATCAGTTGAAGAAGCGAAAATCATCGCTTCTCATTTGAGAATTCAGAATGAACGCAAAGTTGAGCTGCAGAACGCGGGCACGCTAGTCAAGCAGATTCTAACGTAAACAAGGCGGTAAACATATGAAATGTTGAAGAACGAATAAGAAGGATTCTCTTAGATCAACGTTTATTGTTCGAACGAAATGCGAACAAAAGAATATTTAATTTCACCCTAGCGTCTCTTATCAACGTTTTAACGGCAATGTAGGCAAGAATGTCGAAGTGCAGACAATAGAAAATTTAAATTCAGTTTGTGAACATTTTAAGAGTGGCTGTGTGTTGGCCCTCTCATGGGATGAATGCTTTTTGCGATAGTTGCGAGAAGTTTTTCCCAACTTGTTCAAATTTTGAAAATGCGCAATCTCACTATCGGCTTTTTCTTTGGATTATCTGTGGTTAATTCCAAACGAAAGACAACTATCTCTGATTTGTTGTGAGTATCAATAATGCTAAAAGAGTCATGATCGCTTCAGATCCGAAGTCTTAGAAGAATCCTTCATTTGTTGGGTGCTGCGATAATGCATTCAATTAATGCTTATCTGAATTATTCAGATGCAAAGACAAAAATTTTCTCGCATTTGCGTTGTGCATTCGAATATCACCAAACGAATGTCATCTCAAAATCAAGATTCGCATATACTTATAAGAATGAGTTCGATTCAGGTTGTGGTTATGCGTGAGCAAAGATTTCAACGGAACATTTTCAGTTTCAACGTATCGGCCGAACATTCGTTTCAGATTGCTCCGATTTCATTGTATCGTATTGTCGGAGGGCTACTTCATTTCAGAAATCTATTAACCATCGAACATTCCATCATCTACTCAATGACTCGCTTCATTTCACCATTCTTTATCCGATTCCCTCAATTCAGCAGCCGAGCATGTGCCTTTCTGTGATCATCGATTACCATTCTGATCATTGTTCATTCTATTTTTGCTTTCTACATCACAGTGATGCTGATTAATTCCAAACATGCCTCCAATTAACTCATTAATTCAACGTTTACATGAGAGCACAGTTCAGTCATAACGCCAACTTATAATTCCTCATCATTGACTCATGAATTCCAATCAACATCTATTAACTGACAATTTAATAGCTGAGTATTCCACAAGACTGCACTGCAACAAATATTCATAACAAAATTGTGCACCTCAAAGGTCGAACGATTAATTTTGATGGTTAATTTGTTTCATCATCGTATCAAATTACATCTGCGGTTTGCTCGTAACAAATCATAACAAGGATGATAAACGCACCTAGTATAACATATGCCAAATCCGTTATTATTATTATGGAAGTACAAATTTTGACAAATGATTACTTGACGATTCGAAAACAGACTAAAGTGCGCACAAAAAAACGTTCATATACCTACAGATAAAATGAATCAAGAGATTATCCGCAGTGAAAATGCTATGATATTTCCAGGAATGTTTTCTGATCGTTCAAAAGTGCAAAATTGGGAAGTGTTCCTTTGACTAATGAACAGATGTTCAGGAAAGTTAGTTGTTACTATGATATTTCAACGAATATGCAGAGCACATAAACAACACCCTGAACGCACAACAAAGCGCATATAAAATTCATGGTGACATTCACAAGTTTCAGTTTGATTTCAAATTCAGCAGCTCGTCTCATTACTCCTTTTCAATCCATTCTCTTGATGGCTAAATAGAATCCGTCGTCTCGGATATTGTCAGCCGTTTCAAACTATTCTTTATGCGTCTGTTTCGTTTTTTTTTTCTCTCCGCCTAATCTTATTGTAAATCGAACGATTGAATGAATTTGATCATATTGTGTGATCATGACAAAAGGTAACTTCTGAGAAATGCAGTGAATATGAGAATGTAATGAATATGTTGAAGAATATCTTCGTTTTTACTCATTCTCGTATTTCGGATTTCGTTTCACATTTTTTGTTTGTTGTGTTCGACGGATAAAGCTGATGGTACATACATACATAAACATATCTACATAATATATTGCAATTCTGGATAACAACCTCCTACCTTCGCATCGAAGATGCAATTTATTCCTTCACAATTTAGATTCTCTTCAGTAGTTGGTAATAGTGGATATGCACACGATGTGCACATATTCGTTTATTCGGCTGATTGTGAGAGCATGGAAATGGCTTTGCCTCATGACACGTAATTCGAGTATGCGTCGCATTTGTTTCATTTACATTTCGTACGTATATCAATACATAATTCAACGGAAATGAAAATTATAATTAGCCAAGAATATCAAGTAACGTTGACATAGGTCTATCGAATTGTGTCTGTTAATTCGTACACCCTCACTTCGGCAAACACTAAAAAAACTCATTCAGTTAGCCAAGTAAACATTGAATGTTAGAGCAAAAATCATTGCAAATGGAATCGACTAAAGAATTATTATCTGTCTGTAGTGTGCGCCTTTATCGTTTGCGATGTCGTAAAAATTAAAAGATTCCTCGAGCGCTTATGAATGACTCGATTCGAATCGTTCAATCATCGCATCAAAGGATGCGCGAATCAAATTCCAATATTCTGGCCACAGAGCGTTTGTTTTGATGTTTTGCTGTCATCGAAATAGCAATAATTCCGAACATCTAATTCAAATCCTTAATGCATGCTCTGTTTTCGTTTCTCAGCTTGATATTTTCACTAGTAGAAAGCTCAACAGTTGAGTACTTCAGAATAGTAATTGAGAGAATCGTTGTTTTTTTNTTTTTTTCGACGATAACAAATTCTGTTGGCATCACCATTATCTCCATCACTACCATTAAAACAGTGTTCGTATTTTAAGTGTTGCATTCGTCGTCTCCAAAATACGTCTTCATGAGCTTTGTGCAATGTGCAACCGTATGCGATGTGTCCGTTCAAATGTAATTTTCATATTGAATATTAATGAGTGCTTACAAAAAAAAACGCTTGACTGATGTGAGTTTAACGAGTGAACAGTTTTTTGACGAAAGAATTTCTGAAGTATTTTCTGAATTGTTGGTTTTCATTTGTTCAGATTCACATGTTCATTTGATGTTGTGCTAAAATGGGAAACGAATCATCATCATCCAAATCTGCGAACGGCCTTCATAAGACGACAACTCATGAAATTCCGAAGAAAAAAATCTCGAGATTCATCCTTCATGAGAAAAATTCTCGACAAGATTCACTGGAAAGGTTTTTTCTTTCTTTCTGAATGCATTATCTAGCCTTACTTCAATGCGTAAATTGCTTCATTTCCCTCTCGAATTATTGATCCAATGATATTTTTTATCGCCTAATTCAAGTTTTTGTTCTCGAAATTTTTTTTTGCTTTAGAAAACTTGTCTTTGATGAAAAAAATCAGTTCATTTGAAGCTCGAAAGTATTCAAGGTAAGAATGTACTCATTTGAAACGCGTTCCCACTAGACTTCTCTCGAATTCATCCACCTAAATTTGAAATCCAAGTGAGTGCTCTCCATTTATTTCAGCCAACTAATAGCTAACCAGTTTTTGTCTCTAATCAGTAGTTGATAATATCTAAGTTAAAAATTTAATGATACTCGTTTCAAATAAATGACTTCAGCAACGATTCTGGTATAATTACCACACCTACACCAGCCGGCATTTTCATTCGACGTAAGATATCGGCACCGATGTCAGCGTCTTCACTGAGTACACGACGTCCACACTCAATTGATTCGAGTCGAGGCGAGCCGCCTCTGGATATTCACAACGTCAACAATAACAAAACGCTCATTAAATCTTTTAGTCGTGATCACGCTGAAGACGACTTCTCTCCCGGTACGTTCCAACAAATGCAAAAACAAATGTCTTTACACACACATAAATACTTTCATCAAATACTACTTATCCACTACATTCACCACTCTCTAGTCAATATGAATTTTTAATATGCAAATCCAATCCAGTCTATAAAAAACTAACAAATGCAAAGCATCCATCTTCTTCGTTTCGAGTTCGTCTTCATCACACGATCCTCACATCAACATCATCAGTCCCAAAAGATTCTTAGTTAATTTTCAACAACCTTCATATTCGCATCAATCAATCTTTGCACTAACTCGTTTCATGAGCTTGCTTCACTTCTCATCTAAGTTTTCGTTTCTTTCAGTTCTTTTCATTTTCATGACTATGATTTTGTGATAAGTTGCAGAATTTTACGGCTCCAAAAAATGTGTTGTGCGCAAAGCAAATCCGCATTTTGGAGTCCAAAGTGCTTAAAAGTTGAATAGTTTCTTGAGCGTAAACTTTAGCAGACTTTCGAACGAATTAAAGGTTAATATTTATGAACTTGCCAACATATGTGTACCCCGTACATATGCAATGTTATTAATCGTAAAAATGTGCGTACTCAAACAGTAAGATAAACCTTGGATGACCATAGTTCAATGCCTCAAGCCTACAGAGTATACACTGCACCTTCATGAACGTTTCGTAATTTCGGAAAAATTCACGCATCGTAATGAATGATTATCATCACTATCAATTGCGGATAGTTTCATTAGTGAGTGACGTATTATAATTCATAGACTGTAATGGAGTGATGATTTTTGTTGAGTACTTAGCAAATGCTTTCGTAGAGACTCGATTAGATATTAATGTGTTTTTAGATTTTAATTGCTTCCATTACTTCTATTTCGAGGAATCTAAGCATAGCGTTCGATCGTATGGCTACTGCTATAATAGAGTTGGAAATTAGAATTTCAAACTAGTATCGAATCATTACTGCGGCGGAAATGGGATGATCGAAGTGAACTAACGTAAGCAATGTTAACAATGTTTCTGATAATTTGATCTGCAACCAACAAGTTTTTGCCCGTTCGAAAATCAGCGATAACTTCGAAATTTGTTAATACTGGTAGTGGATGGCTAAAATTGAATTAGCGAATAACGATACATTGAAACGGCTGTTGCTGAGCGACGCTTATTGCGTGACGACCAGTAAATTTGCTCAATTTGGTCAACGCAGATGGGAAAATACTGAATTTTTAGTTTTTTGATTCATCACATAAGTCTCATGAGTCCCCGCTATTCTATGTCTAAACAGGTCATATCACACAGTATCACTGAAACAAATAGTAGCGTTCACATATAATATAATAACTCGTATTCGTTTACATCTAAACTAACTTCGATTGAGAGAACTCGTGCTTATCTCTGCATTCTTTGTGAATGTGTTTGATATTTTAAATATGCATCACGTATAATGCCATAAAGTTGGGCACAGCTGCAATTGCATGGTCGAAACATGGTCGTGTGAATGGGGCGAAATGCGTGTAAATATTCATTTGAAATATTAATATGCCAAAGGCAATGCCATTTCTCAACAACTCATATTCATTAGTCCATTTATGAGCGCAAAACATCTCAGCAATTTGAAATTTCCTCTCTTCCTGTTTATCGGCACGATTTGCCTTTCTATTAGATCAAGAGACGTTCCCAACTTGAGAGCAGTTCGATCGTTTCCGAACGCTGCAGATCAATCAAAGCAGTTAAATTTTCCAAAACTAGGATATTCTACGTGCTAAATTTCACTGAAGGATTCGGAGTTTTTTGAGCAATTAGAAGATACTTGCCTTGCCTTCTCAGGGCTCTTAAAAAGAGAGAAGAATCAGCGTGTGAACATTTTTATCTTTCACTGATTCTCACGCTTTAACCATCGCCTTTGACTAAGAATTCGAAAAAGTCAAAAATTCAAAGGATTTATCTGATTCTAAGAAATTACTCCATTTTATCATGAATCGTGATTGGAAGCTTTATTGCATATTCGAAGGTGCACTATTTGCAGCTGATATTCGAGCGACTCACAATCACGGTTTGTATTTCATTAAGCATCATGCCCAAGTTTGCCGTCAGCGACGTCCAATTATATCTGTAATTGCTAGCAAGATGAACAGACAAATGAACACCGCTTTCATTCCATCTAAATCTGTAGTGTATAATTTCAGCAGAGCCGACCAACTAAGTATAAACCACAATTCAATTAGGCATATACTTTATTTGTACTTTCCTCCCTCAACATCCCATCTAATAATCACGCTCATTTTCGAACTTCTCTTTCACCGTCTTAGAGAAATTCATCGAAACGATTGCAATTTTCGCAAACAATCTGCCGTTATTTGATCATTACTGGTATCATTCACTCAATCTTAACTTGTAGTGGCTGAATGCGGAACGATTTCATATGAACAGAACAACGCATAGCTTTCTTTCTAACATCCGCATTATATTCACATGATACATTATGCATGAACGCATTTAGTTATAAGCATACGCATATAACTATAATAAGCATGTAAACTACACGAAAACAAGCGTTCTTACTGCATGCTTGGTGTTTTCTTGCGTAGGAGGTGTAGGAAATGGCAAACCCCGAGGGCATTGCAGCGGTTCTATGACTAGAGTGTTCGTTAGACTGACTCGATGAAATACTGCTCATTTCCACTCGCGCTGATCCAAATTTCCATCACTGTCGCACAAACGATCCTTATTCAGTCCGCTTCAATTTAGTTCCCTTTTTGTTCCCAGTCTCGAAAATTCACATCTCATTGCAAACATTTTATCCCTTCATCTGACATCACAACTCTAATTAATCGCCTATTGCAATATACAAATTGCATTCTGAATAATTTAAATCATTGATCGTTGGTTGGAAAGCAACCGAACAAAACGATGTCACATAAACTTCAACGTTTTTTCAGTTTTCGTAAGTTTACATTCTTGTTTTGCAATTCCATTTTGTTTTTGATGACTCGATGATGCATCGTTCCAATTAGCTGATTTAATCATTGCTATCATTGCGCTATTCACTAGAAAAATTCAAAATGCTCAGTAATTAATTCCAAATTGTTCCATATGAGGGCTAAAAAAGCAAATTTTATGTCGTCTGGAGAATTTCACTGGATGATTAGAGAATGCTTTGTGCAATTTGGAAGGGTCTCTATCTTTTTGTTTTTGTTTTTTTTNTTTTTTTTGGAAATAATGAAGGGCTGTTGAGCAGAAATAATTAGAAGAATTTGGAGAAAGGTTTATATTTTATATAGTATAGTGTACCACATTTGGTCTCAATCAATAATGGAATTGAGGGTTTTATGAGATGAAAGCGAAGTTTTCGTGAAAGGTTCTCTTGGAAATGTGACATGCATCGTTATCTCTGATTTCTGATCTCATCAACGAACTATCTCATTCTGATATTAGCTGCTGCAGCAGCACCCTCAGAAGGAGTGTGCACTTTCGACGAGGTAGCATCGTGTTGAGTGCCGACAATCTTAGAGCGTTCATTTAAAGCACTCACTCCACAGAATGCAAATAATGATTCCAAGCATCTGATTTTTTTGTTCGAGCTTCTTCAATCATGCACAGTCAGTCAGTCTATTCTCGAATGCAAATTCAATGCTCTTTTTTGTGGTCATTCAAAATTACATTCCAGTCATAACTTCAACTCGTGGAACTTCATTCGATGAGTGGGGCCGGGCCAACTGATATTAGTACGAACTGAGCCGAAAACGTTTTTTGCTTCCTCAGACTCAGTCCCATCCGTGTTTCGTATAACAACTATACATAAATGAACGAAGCGACAGAGAATTGCGATTATTTGATTTCTTTTTACTTCATTGAATTTTCCATAGAAATGTCTTATATTTCATACATTGCAAAAAGCCTCATTCGGTTGTGGTGGTTCTCCTTCATTCAGCTCTTCATTTTCTTAGAACGTCTTCTTATGAAAGTACTCAGTTGCAGCCAACAAAAATTCCGCTCTCTATCGGACATCATTGTTTATAAATACTGAAATAATTTCCACTGACAATCACTGAATTTCCCCGGTTCTCTATTCAGCCTTCTTTGCTTAGTCAATTGCTTTCTTTTGTGGTGATAAAGCAATGAGCTGTTTTGTTCAGATGCGATTTTCACAAAAATTTACGAATTTCTCATTCAGTTAACCTAATTTAGATGATGTATTTGAGAATGAATAGCTAATTGAAATGAAACAATTTAAGTGGAATGAAACTTCTGTTTCCATTCGGAATGGTGTGATCAGAATTACGTTTGATCGAGGGACACGGATCTTTTGATGAAATTGAATCGTTTGGCGGAACTTTTTTGCCTCTTTGAAGCTGGTTTTTTGATAGGGTTACTAACTGTCGAAGGACATCCGAATATAGCCGAGAGATCATCAAGTATGAAAGGATCAAACGATCGACGACGAAGCAAATCGGTCTGTGGGCAACAAATTAAAGTTGATTATCAGGTATTTTTGCAGATGAACTGTTTTTGTTCACAACAATACGGCATACATTTGATATCCGCATTGATGACACTGATTGAAAGCTTATCACGTTTCGATTTCATAAAGAAGTTTCAAGTATCCGTCACAAGGAAAAGAAAAATTCCTCATCATTGCTGTCCACAAGCGTGATTGATCGATAACTGCACAAAAACTTCATTTTTACGGAGCAGCAAATGAACTCCGTCGCTTTCTTAACGGAATCTTGTTAAAGTAAAGTTGCTCTGTTGGCCATTCTTCTCACTATATGCGTTAACGATCGCTATTTGGAAAGGATCTTATTGAATGGCCGTTTGGTTATTTGATCATTTGAACCATTTAGTCAGTTTTCCCCGCTGGTCTCAGAGAGTTGAGTAATCAACCATTGATTGCTCGGTGTGCTGTCTTAAATTAGATTTCCTTCGCTAATGAGTTGCTGAAAAAAAGGAGAGAATTTTGCAATAATTTCTTTGCGAAAAAACGAGGGAAAGAGACACGGTGAATCATTCATTTGAAGGGATTGAAAAAACAGAAAAAAAAGAAAATTGTAATATTCCAACGAATGAAAAACGGTAATCCAAATTAATGAGGAATCAAAGTGAAATTCACCGAAACTTATCGGAAATTGCCTTTAAACTTCAAAACGGCAATCAATCAAGGCGTTGTATTTGTAGTCAGCTGCAAGTTCGTTACATTCAACACACAGTAGCTCAAGTCGACGATCATCAAATTCACTCGTACCTCCACTCACAAGACTCCGAATACAAAACTGCTTCAAAGCTGCGCGGTTAGAATTTCAGCTCATCCACTTTCCGCTCTTTCCATTGACCAAAAACTTGATCTTGAGTTTTGATCTCAATTATAATTGTTTCGACTAGACTCAAAGTTACTTCACGACGTACTTCAGAGTTTTGCTCTTCTATCGGCGATATCTTTCGATTGTTGCTGTTGTTTCTGTCTTATTCCTGATGCGAAAAAAGAGCCTCAATTTCAGTTTCATTTTCATTTTTGTTTAGTAATCACAGTGGTAAAGGAGTAGTGTAAGCCCTCAGTGATACTTTCGTCATATAACCGTTCAAAGAAAAAGTTTCATCTAATCAGAAGTTTTTTATAGCCTCCACAAGACATTGCAATATGTAATGAGAGTAGTTTTATGGCACACCTTCATGATTTTTCCTGAGATTGCGGTTCTAGAAGAATCAATGAAAAAATCCACTCAATGCGATCAAAATGACTAAACTAGTCCAATTTGATTGTCATCCCGTGATTAATTTTAACGTTTGTTCTTGAATCTGATTTTAGCTTTCTTTGGATTTATTTTTCATAATTCCTTCTGATAACAACGTAAAGCATCCGAGCACGTTGCAAAAATCAAAACCGACATCGAACATATGCGCGATACAATTCGTGCACGCTTTGTGCTTCTCGAATCTGCTGTCTCGTTATTTCCTCACCGTGAATTAATCATAAACATCAGAAACTTTCATTACGCATAGCATCTTTTCTTCTCATTTTCGATGGGATCATGAATGCACTCAGAGTACTCACGATGAGGAGGAGGAGGAGGAGGAGGAGGAGGAGGAGGAGGAGAAGGAGGCACATTCGTGGTTGACGAATAAAAATTGTGCATAAACATTTCAACAAATTAATTCAATCGAACGTAATTTGCCATCAGAGAAAGGGCATTAATTCGAATTGATTGCCCCGAGAATGAATACAATTCAGCATGAAAATAAGAGATGTCGTTTTTTAGACCACCGATGGGAAATCAAATAATCAAACGAGCTTGTATTCTGCGCTCAGAAATACGCGTTTTTTTGAATAATTTACCCGAAGAAGTGGTCGATGAACTTGCGTCCGACTTGTATACGTTTATTTCGAATTGTGTCGAGAATATCGATGATCCTGACAAGGTTAGTGACAGCCAATTGTTTGTTTCTGTAACCGAACCGTCATTCCCACAACGGATATTTGATTTAAAAAGAATCTGTTGTCATAACAACTAATCCATACATCCCACACGCATCTCTTACAACAATTAATCGAATCTGAAACTTACATGTTATCGTCGACCATCTTCTTCTTAATGCAATTTCTGAAACTCATACATAAACAAACTATCAAAATCGATAAGACTTCCTCCTGTTAGCGCAAAACTGTCAACGAAACAATGTTTTGGCTTACTAATATAGCAATCCACCGAACTGATGAGGATGGTTGGCGAAGCAATTATCATTNNATCCAGAGGGACTGTGACTGCAAACTTGTGAACAGAATTGCAACAGTGTCAAAACTTCATCGAACGATTCCGTTTACGAATAAAATTGTTTGCGAGTAACTCTCTAAATTTCTCACACTGGCTATGCGTCTATGAAATACTTGGAGGAGGGAGGACGATTGAATGTGAATCCAGACATAATTTTTGATGAATACCCGTTGAATAGATGCTCAATTTGAAGTTTTTATGAGTTTTCGATTACATTCCATAACAGTTAACTTTGGAGGTGAATACGCTGGCCAGAGCATTCGGTGAACAACACGCGCAGCTGTGTTCGGTTGGCTTTAGACCGGACTATTTTGCGCCGATCGCCGATGCAGCAATAGCCGAATGTGTTAAGTTGGACGGTGGCGCTCACAAACGATGCGAAACACTGTTGGCGTGGAGTCAGCTGATTGCGGCGATGTTCACCGGTGTTCGAGACGGTTATTACGCGAGGGTGAGACTACAACGAAGGACAAGTTTACCTCAACAACAACGAATTCAACTCAGGAAACAAGCCAGTTTTGAAAGGAAAAGCTTTGAAGGAGAAATGGAACAATGACCATTTTGGAGAAAACAATTGAAAATTCCAACGTTCCGCCGAATCAAGCATCACAAAAAATTTTGCAAGATGCGAGAGGAGCGTTGCTTTTCAACTCGGAAATGAAATTCTTGTGAATGTTCACAAGCAGGTCAACCCCGACCGCGTGTAAAATCAACTCAACTGCATGTTGCAATGAAAAATTCACAAAAAGCGTGTTCCATTTCAAGAATTGATGATTAGAAAGCCATGAAAGAGTACACATTTTTTTCACTTCAATTCACATTGTCAGAGTATTTTTATGATTTGATCGATTTTGTACGGTGAGCTGTTTACCAGTTGACACTTTCAGTTGATCAACAACATCTATGAGTTTTCTAATACATTCCGTTACATCCATTCATCGATGAATGTTGATTTCAAAACCGAGTAATTCAAGCTGAGAAATCAAATAAAGCATGTTTGTTCAGTTACTGAACCATTGTGATAACTATGCAGAAACTATGGAATTTACCTATTCTCTTGTCAACTTGTACGGATATCCGTAAATGAACAAACATGTCTTTGAGATTGAAAAGGTTCATTGCGCTGAAATCCTTAAAATGCTTAAAGCATTCGTAATCAGATTAATTTAACTTTGTGCTCAGAATTGTATTTTAAGNATCTATTTATTTGTATCTGAAATACTTATTTTTCATTTTTGCCATTTCTGTCACTGTTTTCATTTTTAAATTTGTATGTATGTCTTTGCTATCTTGCCAATCATTTGCTATAAATTCTCAAATTATTTTGCTTGATTTATTGGCTGTTCACTGATGTTTGTATGACCGGAAGTTTATTGCTTTCGCATTTCACATATTCGTTCGTCTGAAAGTGATATCATTGCTGAGTGCTAAAAATGCAGTGTGAAAGAAAACAGATATATATTTATCAAATTTTGGCTTAATAAGTTCAATAATATTATCAAAGGATATTCCTCAGTTTGACCTTTGTTACGATAAAATTGTTGATTTCAGTGCTATGCGAATAAAATCTCAGTCCATAAAGGATCTTCAAAGAAAAATGCGTATAACAAGTACGTACTGCGTACTTCTTACAAGTACTTTTCCAATTTTTCTCTACACCAGTCATCAAAAATGGTTCATGATTATCAGGAGCGCAATCTACGAATGGAAAATACCGAAAGCATCAATTTTTCAGAAGACATTTTCATCTGTTGTCCAACTCATTCCTCAAGATATAACCACTCCACCAAGCAGAACCACTGTGTTCAATAACTTGAAAGTAGTTCTGTTAAATGATTATGAATATTTCAACGATATTAAGGAGGACCACATTTTGTAACATCTGCACTGGAATCGGACATGAACCATTCATTACTGCACNACACTACAGTACTATATCATGATGAAGTTGTGATGAGAAGATGCTGTTTTGTAATCGTTTGCTACTTGTCAAACAAGCAGTATTTCAGAATGATATTCTGCCATTATGATTTTCTGTTCAGTACAATCTAACGGTTAGATATGAGTCATCAGAGTACCGTGATAGCTCTCGACATGTACGGCGTGTCCGACGTGAAACGATGATTATTCATTCGGTCACTATTGTTTTGCAGTCATTTTGCGTTTGATTCGTTTTAATCAACTGAGTTTCACTTACAATTAGTTATGAACAAGAAGCACTCAAGAATAAAGCTAATGTAATATGCTGATAGACATGTCAGTCAAACTCAGATTTTAATCAGCTGAAACAACGATTCTTCAAAATGAGGAATGCTCGTTCATCTTCATTTGATATCGATCTGAACACATCACCATTCAAAAACTTCAATCTTCCACTAACCATATCCCACCGAGAATACTTTAACGGGTGCTGTTAGCTATAAGCATACACTTGTTTAGATAGCCAACGCATCTCATATCTCTTATTTCTGAACTTCATTTCAGACCGATGTTATAGCCATTAAATTTAAATGATTTCTCACCGGTTCTTTGCTCGTTTTTCAGCTAATGTCGAAACTGCCATTAACAAAGCGTCATTCAGACAGTGCACAGAACAAATTCTCTTGTTACATTTCACTTGTTCTTCCTTCTTACTCATTCATTATGAAGNTGAGTGAGGTTTTCATTATTATGCAATTAAAAACGACTGATCCAGAATTGTAAAAATAAATCACACAAATCAAATTCATGATCGCCCTTTTTTGCCGGGTTCAACATGATTCTGGAGTTCTCCGAGTGATGTCGAGAATGTTGATGAGGTCAACAACGCAACTGTCGTGCAGACTGCGAATTGCACCTGAATTCTGTTCATGATTAGTTCTATATTTGCGTATGAATCACTTTGGATCAAAGGTGATGTTGCATACTACATACTATTCGCTCGTATGTATGGAACATTTTCACCCAGTAGATGCATTGCACCAATTCTTGCTGAAATGAACTTTCCTTTTTGCAAAACTGAACAAGTAAGCGAATCCCTATGGGAGTACACATATGTATATATGTATATCACCGTGTCGTTGAAATTGTCTAAAACTGCATACTGTCAATCAGATAGTCACAGGATATCCAGAGGCTGCAGATCTCTGTTTGGTGAAAATGACAGAGGTGATTTTCATTGATATAAATGAGATACTGAAGCATCAAATCGACAGTGCAACCTCCAAAAGACGTGACGATGGGATCGCGCTTAGGAGATGGGTTAAAATCGGAAAAGATTGGAGGATGGGCGCTAGCAAACCAGTTGAATGACCGACCGATCAAGTTAGACGCTCAATTTAGCAAGTATTATTGCGGACAGCCAAACAAACCAATCAAAATGTTCACACTACATTCGGGATGTTTCCAACGAAAATAGCAACAGCGTTTCAAGTTGCTATCGATGAATTGTTAAATAAACCCGGTTGGTATTTCATGAGACAGTGGTAATAGCTAGTCGATAAAAGTAAGAGAGAGGCCAATGCGAAATTGATATTAAGAGCAGTAAGCATCACGAAAAAAGATCGAAATCGGTTAGTGGCTCATGCATTTACAATATGGATTAGGCATGAGTAAATGGGATGAGATATAAAGTGGATACAGATGAGATAAGCGGTGGTGGATCGATGGACGACGAATAAACTGCTCGTCACTGATGTTACCGTTAATGCTAAGTCGATCTTCTAGTGGTTTATACGGATATTTTTGTTTGCAATAGCATAACACCAGTGAATTACATACGCGTTTGCTCTAGATCTTATTTTATACTCGAAACATTACCAACCAACCAACAAATATCATTTCTTTCATCAACAACAAAAACAGCAGCAGCCAGTATTCATGCAATGTGTTAGTGATGAGGATATAGCTTACTTCTCGAGACGACTTATTTGACGAAACGAAAAAGAAGTTAAAAGTTAGCATCAGTATCATGCATCACAACAACTTACATCGCTATTTTCAACCAACACAATCGGCACTCTATTCCACCCTGTTTTCTGCTCATCAGCTCATTTCGGTGTCATTAATTGCCTGATTGTTCCGATATCAACATTGCCGTTAAATGCATCATAGTGAGCATCTTCTACAGATTCATCATCGGCATTCATCATAACCATTATGAGACAACTCGTCCGGTAGCTCGTTCAGGTCAGCAGTATGCAATCGCATACGTTTTCACGTGTGCGAGGCGTACCAATTAACTTTCATACAGGCCGCTTGAGGCAGACAATTGATCTACCAGATGATGAGGTATTTTTGAGCATTCATCTCTTGCTTTGTTTCATTTTGTGATCATTTCAAGCGAAAAAATCACCGTCCTTAATTATGACTCATCTTGCCTCAAAATAGCTTGAAGCAAATTAAATTTCCACTCTCATTGGTGAATTCCAGCTATCAATTAGTGTAATAGAATAAATTGTTTATCAAATTAATATGTGAGCGTTAAAACAGATATTTGTTGAAAGGGTCATAGCTCGAAGTGAGATGAAATCGAGAAAGTATCCAATCCTAGTCCTGAATGACGTTGTTTTGAGCGGTACATCTATTTAAACGCCTGATGGTAGTTATCATAGAGCGCATTATAGTTAAGTCAACATTATAGACATACATGAAATTAATCAGACAGCTTGGCTAAATTGTAAGCTTATCTGTTATTTTCAATGTTGTACTAAGTGTCATATGATTGAATTACAGCCTTCAACCTCAAGTAGATCCTACTCAGTGCCTCGATCAAAATCGGTTACACCTCTTCATAGAACTCCGTACTGTGCTATCGTAAGTATTGCTTGTATTCTTTCCAAGCATCCGAAAACACTCAGATAACATCATTATCTTGTTGCATAGCACGAAAGGAACGTTTTTCGCATCTGTCATAATTCTTGTTTGAATCATAGAGTGAGCATATGATAGATCATAATGTGATTAGGCGTTATTTCCACTGCATCTCCAAAAGTGTTAGCAAACTCACTTAAGAAGTGATTTGGGAATACTTCTGAGGCTAAAGTTGTCCCAGTGTGACCAGTAAAACTTTTATTACTTCCATATATGACCAATAATATATGACCAATAAAAGGGTTTGCTTTCGAAAACTTCAGAATTATCACAGTGGCTTAATGGTGTAGCTACGAATGATTTATACATGTACTCATCCAGTTAAGATAATGCACGGATGAAGATACACAAACAAATTTTTTTAATGTGGAATATATGTGATCGGTAAACTAAAAATGAATTAGAAATACAGAACAGTAATAATGTGTCAATGCCTTTCACATTTGTGCCTCGATTTCATAACGAAGAATCCGTAAGGAGGATGCCATATAAAAGACTCGGGAAAACAGACATGTTGATTTCAAGGATTGCTTTTGGTACGTTTTGAATGCTTTTTTTCTAATCCCACTTCTCGCCTGTACACCATAACCTGAATTGTGCATTCGATAGCACAGGGTTTTTCAAGTTGTATGTGGAAATGTCAATGTCAGCTTACTCTTGTCATCAAATTGAGCAGATAACTGAAATTAAAAATCATTTGCGATT